ACAAACCACGCCAAGGGAAGAAGAATTTTTACTAAAAACAGACTTCAATAAAATTTATTGAGTTTACTAAGTAAGAGAGGAAATTTCTGAAAAATCAACGTTACTTAGAATCTAGTAGTCTAAACAGTTTTCATTGAAGGTATTCACCTGCTAGGAGGAAAATTTTTGCTTTAATTTTCCGGAAAAATAGGATAATTTTTCAAGATAATTTTTGAGAATTTTTTAAATTTAACACCATTTGAGTCATTTGAGTTTGCTCTTGCTGGTCTTTTTGCTGTACTGTGCAAATTTAAAAATTTGTTCAATTCATCAGTATTTTGAGCTCGTTCAAATTTTGAATAAGATTTCTGCATTTGGGAACTTTGAACACTATTTTTTACTGGTTCATACAAATGCCTGTTTTGTCTGTTCTGTCAACCAAAAAATATTGTTTCAAAGAAATGATAAACTATATTCCACAGCCGTCGTATACGAAATTGAACATTTTCCCATGTGGAAGCTTGGTTGATTGTCTGGTTAAATTGATAGGTACTTATTTCCTTACAAGGCTAACCTGTGCACTGGATAGGCGCACAATTTGTCTGTAGGCCTAATGAATCTAAAGATAGGCCTATAAAAAAACTTCAAAGTGTAAATGGATTCCATTTGTAAAAACTCCGAGGTTTTCATATACGTATACTTGTGATGTAAAATTTGTCGGCATGTTTTTTTTTGCCGCAGATTTCGCAATGTGCGACCATAGCTAGTTTTTCTGGATTTCGCAATTGTAACGGGTTGCGCAAAATGGAAATGGAAGTTGAACATTTAATTTAAAACGCTGCTATATATGGAAGTGGAATCAGCAAAAAATGCGGATTCTGCTTACATTTTGCAGATTCCGCTTAAAGTTTGCGGATTGTGCTTACAGTTCCAGGTTTCGCAACAGCTGATTTTCACTACCACATATTTTATTATAGGTTTGTGGATTCAATCACTGTTCCGGTTTCCGCAAGTACTGTTGTGGGTTCCGCGAATACGCATGTTTTTGGAGCAGTTTTGAGTGTTACAGTATTTCAGCTATTCATTCCTGGAATCAATAACAGCAAAGAAGATTTTTTTAAAAGTAGCAGTGTTACGGCTTCCGCGACTAACTTGATTTTGGCCTGTTGCGGAAGCCGCTTGCATTAGACAAAATGCACAGTTTGGCCTTGCAATTTTGAATAAAGCTAGACAAAAGTCGGGTCAATATTGTCTGTTGCACCATTAATGCAAGCAAGGCGTGAAAAATTCGTTTGAAGTAACCGCTGAAACTATCAAATCCAATGAACGGGGCCTCAACACCGGCAACGTTTTTTATTGATTGACGTCATTGAACTGCGACCACTCTGAGTGAAATTAAATTATTGTTAAGAAAACGTAGACAAAGGGGACTGCAGGCTTTTGTTAGCAGGTAGCTGAACAAGAATGAGGAATTTGGTATTTGAATTTTATTTAAGATTATTTTAAATTTGACACTGTTCATCAATGCTGTTCCATTTAAAAATCAAGAAAGAATTTCTTAGTGCTTGACCTTCAGCTCTGAAAGCATCTATCAAACATCCCCCTGATTTGGTGTTACTTCAGTGTGTTTTTTGGAGCCTTTTTTGATTTTATCTAGTCAATCTCAATATCAAACGGCTTAGAGTTTTTGCCCATTTTGGGAAAGTTACATGCTTTTAGAGATTCACAAAATCTGTGAACTAATCATGCTACGCGTCCCCTCAACCGCCATAATTTCTAAACGTTTTATATAGCACAAAGGATTGTGGAGATGTGAAAAAGGCTTGCTCAAACTTTTTCAACTAAAGTTAATCGAGTAATTGAGATATAAAAGATGCCGTAAGCCTCGCATGTGATAGTTAAAGTTTTTTGTTTTAATTTCTTGTTACCGCTGATTTCCAATTCCCATTTTAGTTTATGGCCTGTTTTCCTGCGTTAGCCTGTACTAAGATAGGATGTACTAGGAAACAGTCATGAGAAATAATGTTCCTTGTAGGACACGCTGGTTGAAAATGATGTTCCAGTCTGTCTCCCAACAGACAGATAAATGGATTCCAGTAGATGCTTCAAGCCGACTCAGCTCAGTCTGAGATTAAAGCGTCATGAAACCTAAAACTGAAAGTAGCAATAAAAACCATCAGAGCCGCTCACCGCCTGTGAATACTTCGTTCAGCCATTTGATCTTTTTCCTATTTTTTAATTTATGTATCGTTAGATCCTCAGACAAGATAATTTCGCATGCTTTAGAGATCAATAACTTCTTTAATAAGAGTTTAGCTAACATAGAAAACGGACAAATGGGCTCTTGACAAAGAACATTTCTCAGGCAAACGAAAAAAATATAACCTAAAATTATCAATAAATTTAAAAATTACACTTTTCAGAGATACTTTTGTGTATATCCGACTTTGAAAGAATGCGACAGAATATTTCCGCTCAGGTTTTTTCTCTCCTGACCAAATTCGACTTTTTAACTAGCCATTTTTGGTGGATATTCTACATACTATCTGGAAGTTACAGATAACCAAAGCTCAAAACTAAAAAAAAGCAATCACTTGTGACCCTTACTTTTTATGTTATGGGGAGTTGGATTTGGGACCAATTTGACCACTAGAATTGACATAGGACTTTTACCGCGCGATAAATATCATACTAAGCAATCGTCAGCGCAAAATTGATCAGCTGCAATATGAACTGATAAAAGCGTTTTGTTCTTGTCAATACGTAACCAGATGCAAAATTAATTTTTTTATGTGATATCTTTCGTTTTTAAGATAGAAAAAACACATAAATAAAAAAAAATCACAAGGTTTTATTTTTCTTAGCTGTTTCTAACTAACACATTTCAATCGCACAACGGCAGTCGGAACATTTAAGTTTTATAATTTGACTCGAACAGTCTTGTCTGTATTTTTTTTGAATTGGTTGCTAGCCTTCTAAGATAAATACGCTTCTGTTAATTTTGGTCTAAATAAGAGACGAAAATACCACGTACCTGACAAAACATTCTCTCCTAATCGGAAAAAGCTGCAAAAAAATACAAACTTGATCCATCTGGTACCATAGAAAATTAAACGTTTAAAAGACGATTCATTTTTCGATTTTTTGTCAATTAGATGCCCGGGTTGAACTCTAGTGCCGAATCAATTGCCGAAAATTTAGTGCCGAATCAATTGTTATGCATAGGTTAGAACTAATTAATCATGCTCTGATTCAGCGCTGATTCATTTCTGCAAATTACTTAAAATTAGCAATGATTCATCGAAGCCAACCTATGCATTAACATTGATTCAGCGGCGAATTCGCAATTCAAACCGGTTGTCTAAAAGTAATTATCCACAAAAAGTTAAAATTGAACAGCGATTCAAAATTGAACAGCGATTCAAACGTTTCAAGTTGTGACTGATATTTTGGGTCAAACAACGGTTAGAAAATAGCTGTTTTTTTTAAATCCGACTGGAAAAAAGTGACGCAACGTTTGTGATCGGGTTGATTGTTTCTTCAGACAAATTTCGACTTTTTAAATAGACTTTTTATGTTTTTAAATTTTTGAGGATTGTTTTTATTTTATCCGGAAAATAGTATAATCCTATGCTCAAATTTAAAAAAAAAACACAGTTCACATTTAAACTTTTTTTATAAAGTTATTAGGGTTTAAAGATGAATAAAAATTGACATTTCCAACGCGTTTTTCTGAAAATGGGTTGAGTTTGGAATTTGGAAGAAACCTGGCTCAAAATTTCATTAGAATTAATATGTAGTATTTTGTTTTGCAACGGTTTGGCCCACAAATTTACACTAAACAGATCATGTTTGGCTCTGTTTAGTCAACCAAAAAATTATTCCAAACTTATTAATTCATTTACTGACAAAACACTATCACTTCAGGACTCTTATGTTGCCAAAAAAAAAACTGTAAAGAATTGTAAAATTTTCTCAGCTTATTTATTTTCGTTTGTTAGCCAAAAAATGTCATTTTTTGCTACATAAAACACCAATTTTTTTAAAATATTTTAAAAAGCTTTTGCTCTTTCTTGTGGAGTTTTTTAAAGTGTGTTGGGCTTCATAAGAGGTTTGCAGGCAAATGAACAAAAAGGTTGGAGTAATTTTTGATTGACTGATTAAAACGAAAAATGATCAATTTTGGGGAAACTTTTGAGCCAGAATTTTGCAAAACAAGTTGCACCACATTAACTTTGTTAAAGTTTTAAGCAAAGTTAGTTCTAAAAGTTTCAAGCTTTGTCATTTTTGTCTACAATCAATCCAATTTGAGAAAAACGCGTTTTAAAATTAAAATTTTATTCTTTTGTCGGTATAGTTTAAATCACCACTGTATTATCGCGTGAGTGGTGATTTATTCCGGCTTAGAAATCTCACGGATTAAATCACCACTCACGCGTTAATACAGTGTTGATTTAAACTATCCCGACAAAAAAAATAAAAACTTTAATTTTAAAACGCGTTTTTCTCAAATTGAATTGATTGTAGACAAAAATGACAAAGCTTGAAACTTTTAGAACTAACTTTGCTTAAAACTTTAACAAAGTTAATGTGGTGCAACTTGTTTGCGAAATTCGAATTTGGCCAGTTTTGCATGTTGCTGTACTTGACATAACGTGTGGGTGGATTTTCAAAACATTCACAAAAATAAGTTTTCGGGTCGATCACGGTCAGCCAGAAAATACATTTCGTGAAACAGTGTAAAAAGGAGGACCCTAAGAAAGAAAAGCGCATAACCCCCGTCCTTGCCCCACTGAACTACGGTGATGATCAAAGTAATTGTTGGACAAACCTGTTCCTACAATTTAGTGTTGATCCAAAACATATTTCTATCAAGAAAATCATTTCTTTCCCCTATGCTTCCCCTGTAAAAGACTAAGTCAGGGTTTATGCCTGTTCGATTTTTGTATAATATAACAGTGAATCGCTCTTTTCGCAATATCTAAAAGAAAAAAAAACAGGCTTTGACCTGATGCACATGCAGCTAAATTGAGCTGCAGTTTTCGGACCTGTGATCGACTTACTTTTAATACCGGACTTAGTGCTTGCATTTAACCTGGGTGATTTTTTCGTAATCAGAAATACGGACGAAATGTTGCGATCAATAAACCCCTAAGGCAGATTATGTACGTAGGCACCTTTTTTGTAGTCAGCTACCGCAGGAAAAAGGCTTAAATACTGACCTTGTTTTATTCAGCTTTTGTATTTTTTGATTTTTGACCAAACAAAGATTATAGTGACCAACAATCATTAGTAAAATGAATTGGTTATTTATTTTTAATCTCAACCCATTTTTTGTGTATTTCTACTTAAGAAATCTACTTGTGTTTTAAAAATCTACTTGTGTATTAAAAATGCTTGGCTGTCAATCTTAAATGGCCGATTAATAACTGAGTTTTCTTTTTATCTTGTTCGTCTTTAAATACATATCTGATCTGTTGATGATTTTTAAAGCAGCTTCCATTTGCCTGATGTTAAAGTAAAACGCATTTTGGGATTCACCTGTTTTAGTGTTTGTCAGAGCACAGTGAGCGACCTTAGTGCATTGAGCCGATGCACTGAGACGATTTAATATCTGGGCCGATTGTGAAAAAGAAGCAAACTGCTGCTGCCGGGGCAGGGGTGGGGACGTGGACGGGGACGGGCTTCAATTCAGTACCTGATGCTAGTCGCATTGTGACAAAAAAAAATACATTATTTCTTGCCGGTGGCTCCTCGTTTATTTTATTGACAGATGGAGGTAGTGTTTGTGGTAGAGAAAAAAGAGCTGATCCCCTTTGATTGATTTATTATTTCGCAGCGGTAGGGCTTACACAGGAGGGTGCGGCCAAGTAGAAGAACCGGACAGGAGCTTTAGAGACCGCCAACCTGCTTGTACGTTCCTTTTTGTGGTGACATACATAGTCAAGTGACGCAGCACATTGTGGCTCAAATCCTTTTTTACAAAATCATTTGGCCAATTTTATCTCCATTACAAACTCACAATGATCAATGCAGTTGAAAGCAAATCACCAATTTATCATCTGGCTACCAAAACAGCTACCTTCGCCTCCCTTATAGGCACGCTTAACGCTTCATCCCTGCTTCTTTTTCACTGCTAACTGATATCTGCAAGCAAATTGCATTGCTGCTCACTTATAAGTCTACCTAAGTCACTTTAGTAATCAGCTTCTCTTCTGCCTCCGGCGCTGTCCGGTCGGTTTTTTTGATCTCGCACTCAGCAATGCAGATGATGACTGCGGCGGCTACTGAAGCTAAAATTTGGGCAAAGAACGCCTCTTTCAACCTTTCATCAGCGTCGGTGGTGGCGGGGGCGCAAAATGCCTCAGATGATGAGCAAGGCGAAACTGCGGAAACACTGCAATCCTATGGATTCTATTTTGCATCATTATGTCTTGCACTTGTTACAATTCTTACCATATTAGGGAACTTGCTGGTTATGATTGCAATTTTGAAGACTAAAACCCTGCGATCGACCCAGTATATTTTTATATTTTGTCTGGCAACCACTGATCTATGCCTGGGCTTACTGGTTCTGCCATTCGCTACCTATTACGAGATGACCCAATCGTGGGCTTTTGGGACAGTGTTATGCAATGTGTGGGTTAGTCTGGACGTGATGCTCTGTTCGGGTTCTGTACTGCACCTGCTTTTCATTACTATAGACCGCAAACTGGCCATCAAGTATGCGATCGAGTACAGGTTTGTGGTGACCAAGCCCAGAATCGCCATGTGTATGATTCTGGTGTGGGTCATCTCCATCGGAAACTCCTTTCTCCCTATCTTTCTCGGTTGGAATACTGCGGATGGTTCTGTGCAGAACACCCGAGACCCCACCCAATGTGGCTATGACATGGGAAACAAGTGGTATTGTCTCATAGTCGGCCTGGTCACCTTCATAATTCCCCTGCTAGTCATGGCCCTCATGTACATCGACATACTGCACATGGCACGAATTCAGAGCAAGAAAATTCGCGAGCAAACCGTCTTTGTCAGTGCAAACAGTGCAAGTAACGATGTGCAAAACAGCAGCGGCAGATTCAGCAAATCATACAGCAACAATAACAAAAAAACCAACAACAACAGCACTCTAGAGGTGCCCGGAACGTCTTCGTCAGCAGATGCGTCCGGCACCATTAACGGAGGAGCTTCTGCTGGCACCGAGATCTCCTCGCGGCCCTCAGTTAGTAGCAAAAGGCGACAGCCGCCGCGAACAAGTGTGGCAATCCACAAACTAATGAACAACGTGGACACAATCTACCGCGAGAACAAAGCTACAGTCACAGTGTTTGTCATTTTTGGACTGTTCTTCATTTGTTGGTTTCCATACATGGTACTCTTCACTTTCTGGCCCTTAAAGGGCAATGGTCTGCAGACTGTGAATCCTATAGCCATGAAAATATTTGTATGGACAGGCTATGTCAACAGTACCGTAAACCCTTTTCTCTACACTATGCTGAACACGACATTCAGAGATGCCCTGAAAAAACTGTTTTCTACTCAGCGCAAACGTCAACATGCAGACGATATTTTGGATCTGGGAGTGGCGAACGGTCTCCATGTATCAGCCAGCGGAGTCTAACCAACATACCTTCACTATACTCAGAACCAAATATACCGCCGCTTTCGATCATTACAACTCAGATCAGTTTTTCACCAGCATCATTTCAATCAAACACTTCTTAACTTCTTAGACCCCCCCCCCCCCAAAGTGTGCAGGCCCAATTTCATTTTAGAGCAAACTTCAACAACCTACTTAAAGTAGCTTTGTAATTGATAACACGTAACTAATTGAAATGATCTTGTAATTACTATAATCATTTGACTCTAATATAAATTATTTCAACCATCTTTTTACCCTAAATTTTTCCGGAAGAAATTTCAGAAGTACAAACTTAGGGCAGACGCTATTCGAACTGCTATTGCAACTGCTTACCATTTGCTGAAAACATTAGATTCATAAATTCCTGATCGCAACCGCCCGCTCGCCCGACTGCTTACGTTCAAATGCACCTCACGCCGTCAAAATATCCATAAGTATTCCCCGTTTTGCTGTTTAGCAGCCATATCATGTTTTTGAAAAAGAAAGAGGAAAACAGTCTTCGATTTTCTTCGATTCTGGACCATCAATTTTTTCCAAGGATTTTCAATTGTTTTTTTTTAAACGGGGCCCAGAACCATACATTTAATTGAAATTTTTTAAAAAAGTTTACTTATGAAAAGAGATTCTCAAAAATTTAAAAAATCTAACTCAACAGGATAAATTCGAAGAGCTTCATCAAAGAGTAGTTTCTGTCTTAATTGACTGGACAGGGTCGAGAAACTTTTCAGAATAATGTTAAGTCGTAGCCCTTCTCTTGATTTCTCTAGTCTCGATAGAGAAACACTGGCAAACTGCAGTTAAATTAAAATCAATACTAATAAACTCAAACAGTCCCGCTTGAGTGGAATGAAGTTAAGATTAGTGGTTCCATTAGACAAAAAAAATCGGTTTACAAAATATGTTTTGGGTTCGGTCACAGATCACTATGATCAATGTCATGGTAACAAATCGAATACTGCTACCAGAGATGGCACTAAGGGACTTCGAGTTGAAACATTACTGTCATCCGGTCGGCTTGGCATCATGATAGTGATCTACATATATGCATATTTATATCTATTTTTATACTTTATACCACAGGTCAGCTGATCTTGAGAACTACGGCCAGTCCGTATTGCTAAGAGCCTAACATGTGCAGAACCGAGAGAAAAGATTATGTTTCAATTAAATTCTTTTTTCATATTGAGTTATCTCCTCAGTCGTCAATACGCACGGATTCAATATAAATCATACAACACCGCATGACATGGCGCAACCAGCAGGTTACAAATTTCCGCTGAGCATCCCGCCATTCTGGCAGAAGGCAACGGCGAAACAGCCGATGGAATAGACAAAATGGACAGCCATAATGGAGATGGCCGTCCTGGCTAAAGACGGTATAGATGTGCGAACTCTACTTCGTGCCTGACCACCAACTATAGAACCAACGGAACTAATTTACGAGCTGGAAATTAACGGTGAAACTGAAGCGGAAAAGAGATAAAAGAAATCAGGAGAAAAAGGTCAACTGGGAAAATCAAATAGCATCAGTTCGAAAAAGAGGACCACTTTGCAACAGTTTCCTATGAGAGGAAGCAGATGTCAAGGTGAGAATTTATATCTTCTTGTTTTTGGGGGCTGAAGGCCAAAGGCAGCTACAAAAAAAAACGCCCAGGAGTTGAGAAACACACAATATCCAGTAGAGAGTTGATCCAGATACTGAATAACGTTTTTGTCACTACGCGAATAATTGCCTTCGAAAGACATAAATTCATCTGCCGAAAGCAACGGAAAAATGAATCATTACAACAATTCCATGCGGATTTAGTAGAGCTAGCGGCCCGGGCCGACTGCGGTGACAGAGAAGAAGAATGGGTCCGAGACATGTCCACTGCCCATGTGACAAATAAGAAAATCGCCGAAGAACTACTAGCAGAAACAAGGTTGCCATAAGGTGCCTACGAATATGCGATAAGAAGATAAAAAGGGATAGAACACAGTATGACCAAGAAAACCAATCCATTCGGTCCATCAACAAGCTCACTGACAACTCAGCAAGAACCCATGGGATTCATAGAGCCACGAGGTGAAGGAGATCGAAGTGGATATTCAAACAGTCATCACGGCCGAGGTTTTGGCAGAGGCAGTCAAATTTTCCAGAAAGGAAACTTAAAAAAATCAATCAAGAGAAACGCAGATTTCACGAAGAAATTAAACTACAAATGCAGTATACAGTTCGGCCATAACCACTTACAATCATGTCCGGCTGAAGATAAAAATTTGTTCTAAATAGGCAAAACGAGGACACTTCGCAAAAATAAGTAGATCAACGAATTTAAATTACATGCAAGAGTCAAACGGAGATCAACCGGCCGACGAGGAGGATAAAGACACCAAAGTTGAGGTGAACGATCCCGTTGCCTGTGGAGAGTTCATCTCAAGAGACGGTTGGAAAGACATTCTTCGAGACAATTTCACCATAATGGCCATTTCAGGAGCCTTTGAACTAAATTCAACTGGTCTGAAAGAAGACAACTTAGACGGCCCCAAGTTAAAATTGAAAACGAAAGCAGAAAAAGTGATTGCGATTGCAGATTCAGGAAACCCAAGGTCATTTTAAAATGAGAAGACAACGCGCAGACTCCAAATAAACAACAGATTAGCAAGATTCAGATATAACTCTCGGAAGAGACGGCCAGAAGCTTGGCGTGTTACAATGAAAAATATATATAATATCTTAAAAACGCCCGATAATTGCGATAAAATCAGGAGATTGGACAGTGCAATTTGCCCCAATTACAACCGCTGACTATCAAAAAGCAAACTCATTGGACGGAGAATCCTAGCAAAATTTGGAATCACACTGGCTCAAGAAAAACCAAAACACAATCAAATCCTGAATGTACACGAAATTAAAAACTCAGACGAGGAATTACAACAGCGAGTCGAAAAACTCAAAGCAACTGTGTGTTCGAAGTGCTCGAATTGTAAAATCAAAAAAACTGTGTTATCAAAACACAAATCATAAAGGACATATCAACATAACACATATACAACAAAAAGGAACAAGGGTACCAATTCATCTCCAAGAACGGTTTGAGAAAAAATATAATAAATTGATTGATCAAAAACAGATCATCAAGCTAGACAAATGTTCAGATAAACAATTTATTAGCCTTATTGTAATAACTGTAAAAATTGAACAATCAATGAAGTTAGCATTGGACTCGAAAATGATAAATAAGTTTATCCACAAAATCAAAGATAAAATTCCCAGTATTGAATAACTGCTCGACAACATTGGGCAAAATTTTCGAACCAAAGAAAAAGAACCGACACTATTCTCAACACTTGACCTTCGGTACGCATACTCGCAAATCCCTCTGGATACAGAGACCAGAAAACAATGTAATTTTAGCCTAATTAGACGTCATGCAACAGGAACCTATCAATTCCAAACGGGACTTTATGGTTTCACAGATATGCCTGCTGAACTTCAGATAGCAATTGAGCTCACGTTGACCAATTGGGAAAACATATTCGCTTATGCTGATGACATTCTTTACGAGGAGGTCAAGAAAGAACACAGAAAACAACTACATAAAGTTCTTACAAAATTAAGAGGGGAAAACTTAGCATTTTAAATGGCTCGGCTATAATAATAGCGAGGGCACCAAACAACTGAATCGGAAAATCGACGCGATAGCCAAACTCACAGCCCCTAAAATATTCCACTAACTAAAAATTTTTTGGGTTCCTTACATCGCCTTACAAAGTTCATACCTGGCAAAAGAGGCCTCAGCGCGCAAACTTTTACTAAAAACACTGATAAACACAAACTTCTTTATTGGTAGTCGGATCAAACAACAGCGTTTTATCGCATATTCAAGCTTGTTTCAGAAATAACTGACAACAAACATTTTGACGAAAACCTAGAGACTCGAGTAGTCTGCGACGACTCTACATTAGGGATAGGCGCCGCGTTTGAACAAGTTACCCAGGAGGGATGAGTGGCAATGGCATATGCGTCCAGTTTCCTATACCCATTAGAATAAAAATATTCATTAAATGAGCTAGAGTTAAAAGGGATCGTATGGGCAATCAAACGCTTTAAATACTTCTTGTACGGTAGAAACTTTGGCGTCATTACCGACCACCAAGCTTCAATCAGTGCATTAAACGCGAGTGAAAGGTAAAAAACTAGCTAAAAAAGTTTTACTAGATCGATCGATTGTTTGATCCCTTTTATTTTGATATCAAACATTTGGCAGGATCAAAAATGGGACTGATAGAAAAAATGTCGCGAAACACAGTAGGATTTGCAGTAGCCCCCAGTGAGTACGATGAGGAATTTGTAGAATCATCAGTTAACTCATTCGTTGCAAATCTCGAATTGGTTGTCAATGTCATTTTAAACATGCTAGCCAATCAGAATCAATCGCTTAATCTGCTGATCGAAACGCGCGCGAAAACGAAAAAATAAAAAGCTTTCAATTGAAACTAAAAGCATATTTCAAACATTCCGGACATACCGATTACGGTCACAAAATCTTAAGCGAAAGCAATCCTTCGATCAACCCTTCTTCTAAACAGCAGCAGTCCTTCAACAAACAACAACAGACAATCCATCTTATGATTTTTTAAAACAAAATCATAAGCCCGAAAATGTAAGACAAGGGCTTTAAAGGAGGTTTCATACTCGGTTCGGCAAGAGCTAGAGGCAGCAGAAAAAAGGCATTGACACCACGTGGACTACAATGCGATACTACTTGGAGAGGAGAATCGGATAGAGAAGAGGGCCTATCCAATCCCCGTTTGCACCACCGAACAACAACAACAACAAAAACCTATGAAAGATGAGCATCATCTTCCCATGAAATCTCACCAAGTCCAACAAACATCAGAGACGCCAGAGAAAACTCTTACAATCCAGCGACAGGCCGAGACTCTGCTCAAAAACTAGTAGTTTCAGAAAGCCCGACCAGCCCAATCAAAGACAAGAGTAGGGCATCAACGCCCGAAAGGACCAGAGCTCAAAAGCAGTCACCGGCGCGACTCAGGAACAATTTCAGTCGGCGTCATCCCATATGCAAACCCAAACACACACACACACACACACACACACACAAAAACAACTATCACATGGAAATCACAGACGGACTTCAGCAGAGGGACGACGTATCCCCAAATGAACCACCACCGACAATGACCAGTCACACCCATCAACTATAAGCAAGCAATGAAATGATCGTGGCCACA